GCCCGCTATGTACTGTACAGGAGGGACATGGTGCTGGGGGGAGCCCCGTGGTGGCAGCACCCATGGGATGGCAGTGGCTATGGGCTGGAGGCGAAGCACAGACTGCATGGCCCTGTAAGGGGCAGGGCATCCCTACCAACCACAGCGCTGGTGATAACATCGGGTCTTTCGCTTTGATTAAAGTTATTTAAGCTTTTTACTGAAACATAAAACCTGATTGTTTGCATAAACAACCTAATTGGATTATAGTGCACGGCATCGCTAATGCTGCGGGCTGCTGAGGAGCTGCAGGGCAGGCGAGGCCTCTGCCTCTGACACTTTGCCACCATTCTGCTGCCACACCGTGTGCCACACGGGGACCCAGAGCTGTCACCCCCACTGGGGACACTGCTGTCCCTATGGCAGAGCCTCGGGTGGACGATGCAAGGTCCCAGAAGAGCAGGGACAAAGTTGCTATGATGGCATCACCCACTCAGCTCGAAGAGGAGGAGGATGAGCACGGAGGGATGAAGGATGCTGAGCTGCTGCGAGCGGCAGAGCGCTGCCTGCCCAGGGCTTCCACGGCTGGGAGCTGCCGAAGGCTTTCATGGCAAGCAAAGCGGGGAGGCTGCATGAATATTTCATTAGGAAAGCAATGTGGTGTGCTGCAGAGAACATCTGGCTGGAGTCCCCGGAGACCCCCGGCTTGTGCAGGAAGCAGGAACTGTGAAATATGGAGGAAAATGAGGGAGAGGGGGAGCACGGGGGGGGGCACATCTCAGCCCCCTGTGGTGGCAGCTCAGGGCCTGATCCAGCTCTGAGCAATGGTTTTCACGGGGCGTCCCCTGGGCTGGGGACCCCAGGGAAAGTTGTCCCGATGGTATGGGAGCAGAGGGCAAGAGATGCTGCTGGGCACAGTGGGTTCGTTGGTGGGTGCAGAGCGCTGTGCAGGAGCTGGGGTGGTGCAGGGGGCTCGTTGTTGGTGCTGCAACCCCATCCCCAACACATCCAAACATGCAGCCCCAAGCCCAGCCTGTTGGTGAGGACAGCACTTTGCTCACCGTCCCCTTTGTGCTGAGGACTGCAGCACAATCTCCATGGCTGATGCTCTGCCCTCCAGCCCCTCCTGAGCCTGTTTACAGACCGGGAGCAGGGGATGATTCCTATGGGATTGATTCCTATGGGATTGTGTACATAGTGCCAGGGCATACACCACCCTGCCCCCTGGCAGCAGCATTGCTGCATTCCAGATACCTGAGACCCTCTGGGCTGCGATTCACTGGGCTGTCCCATCGCTCCCCCTTCCCAAACACAGCCTCCCGCCGTGCCCTGCTCCCAGCCGGCCCCTCATGTCCCAGCCCTGCCGCCTCCATCCATCGCAGCAGACAAAGCCCGGCCAGACAAAGCCCAGCCCCGGCCCTGGGCAGCCTCCTGTGCTGCACCGCACGGCGGAGGCACATCCCCTCCTGCAGCACAGCCAGTACCCACAGCCCCATACCTTCCTCCATAGGCGTCGGGAGCACGTTGGCACCAGCAGTGCAGCGAGGCCACGGGCATCCAGCCCACCACCACGCACCCAGCAGGCATGCAAACGAAGGCAAGTCATACCTTCCTCCTCTCCAGCTCCATCATCCTCCATCCGTCCTGCTCCGGCCAAGCGGCACTCCGCCACGCTGCCCGTCCTCCATGTGCCGCACGACGATGGGCTGCAGACCCTCCTCTCCCCTCCGGCTGGCTTCGGCCCCACGCTGCCTGCTGGCATTTTGGCAGCCTCGCCGCTCCAGCGATGGCATGCGTCCATTTTTTTTTTTCTCCTCGCTCCCTTTCACAATCCATCCCCAGCCTCGCTGCCTCCGGAGCCGCCTGTGGTGCCAGCGCAGGGAACTTGGCAGCGTGTAGCGTGGGGATGCTCCGCAGCTGAGCAGAGCCCCTCTGCCATCACCCGCCCTGGCACGGGGCCGGGGCCACGGGGGGCTGTTGTTGTTCCCAGCACTGCTGCCAAAAGCCAAACAGGGGGGGGGGAAAAAAAGGAAAAACGCAGAGCGAGGATCTGGCAGCGGTGCCATCGCCGCGCGCGGGGGACCTTTCCTTTTGGCACATCCTCATCCCTCTCCGGAGCACCCCGGTGCCACGTGGGGAGGCTCGGCCCCATCTGTCCCCACGTCCCCACGCGTACCCCACACCGATGAGCAGGAGGCGACGACGGCAGCAGACCCGTGCGGCGACGCTGCGTGGTGAGCACGGCTCCCAGACACACCTCTTACCCAGCATCCACCTGCTGCGAGAGGGGGGCCCAGGAAATTGGGAAGGAGAAAGCGGGGAGAGGCTCTGTGCCAATGGGTGGGAGGCTTTGGGGTCCTTCCCGGCTGCAATGGGTGGCCTCTATGGCCTCGTGCCATGTGGTGTCCACGTGCCGTGCCCCAGCTGTGACCAGCAGCCATCAGCAGGGCAGGTGAAGGCACTGTGACCCTCCACACCTCTCCAGTTTTCACCTTTCTGCCCTAAATTCCTGGTCTTTGCGGCTTTTTGGAGAGGGATGCAGCCAGAGCTGGAGCTTGGTTGCATCTGAGGGATGTGCATAGGTGTACCTGGGCAAGAGTCAAGGAGTCAAGTCACGGAGAGCCACATTTCTGGCAAGCTCCCATGTATGAGGATCCACAGGGGTGCCTGTGCTGCCTCATCATCCTCCGCAGCACAGCCCTACAGCACAGCTTCCTGCCATTCCCATTAAGCAGGCTTTCCCCTAACTGGGGATGTGTTTGCTGAGCTTGGCACAACACGTCAGGAGCCCCTGGGGCTGCATGTGGGTCACAGCATCCCTATGCCACACTCCTACTGTGCAGCACCCGCTGTCTGTGCTGCAGCACGTCCCCAGCCCCAGAGCCAGCAGCTCCCAGGACGGCAAGGCCATAGGAAGAGCCCCAGAGGCCAACCCCTGTTCCTGTATCCTCGTCCCCACGCCTCCTGTCCCCCAGCCGGGCCATGGCACACGTGTGCCCACCATTTCCTCCAATAAGCAGCTAATCTCCATCCATCATAATTTCACACAATTATCATAATAGGGCCATTTTGCACTTATCCTCTCTGCATGAGGTTGGAGGCACTTAGGGTGGCACTTCACGCCGAGTGCCTCCGTGCTGCTCCCTGTCCCCTGCCTTGGGCTGTCCTAGCCAGGGTGGCTCATCCTTGCCCCAAAACTGCTGTGTCCCCACATCCTTGTCCTTCACTGCGTCCCCATGTAGGGCCCTACCCCTTCCTGGCCACCCCTGCATGGCACAGGGCTGCAGCTGCAGTGCTTCCCCTGAACATCAACCTCCCCATAAAATAGTGTTGTTTACACCACATTTTTAACAATGTTCCTTTTTTTTTTTTTTTTTTTTTTTTAATAAATACGGATGTTGCCACAAGTAAACTCTAATGCAATAAAAGCTTTCTGCTGGATCCATAATTAATCAGCGAGCTGCTTGATGCAATGCGCTCCCAACAGCACGGGGCGCGCGGCTCAGCCCCAACCAAAGGAGGAGGGTGGGGGGGATGAGAACCACGGTGGCCCCAAAGGGCTCATCTGGGGACACAGAGCTGCGTGGGGGCACAGACACTCCCAGGACCCTGGGCTCAGATGTGGGGGCCATCAGAGTGAGCTGAGCATCATCCCCCAGCGGATCTGGGGTCCAGATGGCCAATGGTCAGCAGGTGCTGAGGGATGGAGCAGCAGAGGGCAGACATCTGCTGTGCATGCGGGCAGCTGGCCATGTCCCCCCCACTCTGGGACACAAACCGAAGTAACAGAGCAGCATCCCACCCTGTGCTGTCATATGTCTGTCCCCATACTGTGCACCCCATCCCCACACCACCCAGGGATGTCAGGACCAGCAACACTCCAGTGCCACCAGGGCCCACCCTGCGGCTGCCAGGAGGGTTAATCTGTGCAGCATGCAGTGGCCAGGGAGCAAGGGAGGCTGGTGGCAGATGGCAAGTGCAAGAAGGGGAAGGAAGGTGGCAGGGCGGTGTGGAGCAGAGTGGGTGCAGCTGCAGGGTGACACTTGGGTACGGCAGAGCCCTGCTGGTGGGGAGGTGGGCACCTACTGGGAGGGGTGGGGGCCGCATGGCTGGGTTCCTCCAGCAGCACTGCTGCACTGAGCATGAAGGAGGAATGCAATAGAAAGGCAGCTGTGCAGTGGGAAGGAAGCCATGCAGTGTGGAGCTGTGCAATGAGGTTCACCGGGGAGCAGTGCAATATGGAAGGCATCATGCAATAGGAAGCTGTGCAACACAGAGCAGTACACTGGGGAGCTGTGCAATAGGAAAGGAATTTGCGAGTGGGAGCTGTGCACAGGGACAGAGCTCTGCAAATGAGATGGAGCTATGTAACGGGGAAGAAACTGTGCAGGGCAGAGGGAACCGTGCACTGAAGGAGCTGTGCAATGACAGATCCGTGCAGTGGTTGATCTTTGCACTGGGGAAGGAGCCACGCTGTGAGGAAGGAGCCGTAACAGAGCAATCCTTGCAATAGACAGCCAGCCGTGCCCAGGGGAGCAGCGCAGCCTGAGGAGCTGGGGGGCAACGCGGTGGGGCAGCCCCTGGCCACGCAGCCGTCCCCACACCGTTCCCACCCTGCCATGCCTGGCTGGGCCTCATTGGGCCACGCGGTGGAAACACAGCTGGGGGTGGGCGGCCCGCCGTCACCCCACCGTGACGGGGAGCAGAAGGCCATGGGTCTGCACTGTACCCCGCGGAGCCCTGTGCTTCCATCCCGGACCCGCACCTCCACGTGCACCCGCAGAGCCCCGGTGCGAACCCTGCGTCGTCCCCAGCCCGTAGTGCCACCACGGGACAGCACGGTGCGGCACTGCGACATCACGGCCACGCTGAGAGCCCCCTGCCCGGCCTTTTGCGTGTGTCTGCGAGCGTGCCACGTGCGGCCGAACCCCCACAAAAGGCCGCGGGGCGGAGGGAGGAGGCGGAACGTTTTGGCAACGGAACGTTCGTTCCGGGCGCCGTGTTCCCGCCGGAGCCCGCTCACAAAGGAGCGCCCCTTGCGCATTGCCGGCGCCGCCAGGTGAGGCCCTGGGGGGCTGCGGGGCCCGGCGCTGCCCTGCGGCCGGCCGGCTGGGAGGCGGGGGTCGGGGCTGCGTTAAGCGGAGGCTTTGATTGCGGAGTAATTAACGTCTCGCTCATCTGGCGGCGCACGGCCTGCTGGGATTCCCGCACTCAACTTCCTCCCGTGTGGGCCCGGCCCGGGCCATGCCCTGCTGCCCTGCGGTGTGGGTTTGTGGTTGGAATATCGCAGGGAAAGGGGTTTTGCGGCTGTTCCTCGTTTGCCAGTGTGAAGAGGGGGAGGAGAACTCCTGCACTCGGGTTGGGCCTCCTCGTAGCACCGGGCCTTTCCTCCATCAGGGCTGTGGCATTTCTTACCACGACCCGTGGTGGTTCTGCAGTGCCAGGAGTTGATGATAGGAGCTCCCCACCCTGCTGTCCTTTCCTGCTCCGGCCCTGCAGGGGTGGGCTTGAGCCATCTCTTCCAGGGCAGCGAGCACACATAGGAGATCACAGAGTGGTTTGTATTTGGAAGGGACCTCTAAAAACAACCTGGCTTCCTCTGCCTGCAATGAACAGGGACACACACAGCTCCATCAGTGCTCTGGTCTGACCCTGAGAGGGAGCATCCACCACCTTTCTGGACAACCTGTGCCCCTGTCTCACTGCCTGTATGGTTAAAAATAAACAACCTTTCTTCCTTATATCCAGTCTAAATTTCTCCTCTTTTAGCATGAAACCATTTGCTCTTGTCCTGTCACAACAGACCCTGCTGAAGTGTCAGTCCCCTTCCTTCTTATAGCCACTGCTAGATAATGAAAGGCTGCTCTCAGATCTGCTTGGAGCCTTCTCCTCTCTAGGCTGAACGACCGCAACTCCCTCAGCCCGTCCTCGCAGGGGAGGTGTTCCATCCCTTGGATCATTTTGGTGGCCTCCTGTCCACACTCCAGCAGGCCCACGTGTATCCTGTGCTGAGGACTCCACATCTGGGTGCAGTGCTCCAGGTGAGGTCTTACCAGCACGGAGTAGAGGACGACCATCCTCTACCCAGGAGAATAGATGAGCACTTGTGTTGCTGGTTATCTCTGAGCAAAGTAAAGCAAACAGCTCTGGCATGACCCTGCTCACACACACACACACACACACAGTGAATGCTACTTCTGTGAAGCCCATAAATGCACAGGGCCAGCTGAAGGTGCTGCTGTTTATTGTTCCATTAAATCCGGACTGGCGCTGTGCTGGAACAGGGATAATGTGATTTCTGGAAGCTGCTGTTCTGAAGCAACATCTAACACCTGCTCCAGAGCCTTGCGAGGAAAAGCAAGAATGCCAAGTGCACTTAGCTGCGCTGGACTGCAGCACGGTGTGATGCTGGCAGGCGGTCACTTCCCATTAATGCCCCTCTTAATGCCTGGGGCATTAACATCTCACCAGCACGCCAGTGCTGGGCACAGGCCGGGTGGAGGCGATTTGATTGCGTTCTCTATTTTGTATTTCAGTCCGTACAGAGAAATGGAAAGATATCATGCTAGTTTTGTCATGACCTGCTTTGTTTTTTTTCCATCCTTACAGTAGAAATCACGAGTGCTCTCGGGTGACACCCTTTGGGTTGAGAGCTTTGCCCCCATGTTTCCGCAGAAAATCACAAGTTTCTTTTGCAGAAGCAGAAATTGAGGTTGATATGCAAAAGAAAAAGTTTGCAAAGCAGCTTCCGCTGGGAGAAATGCTCTGAATGCGGATGAGGGAGTCTGCAGGGCTTGCAGCCACCTCTCTGCAAAAGCAAACGCTGAGAATCATAGAATGGCTTAAGCTGGAAGGGACCTTAATGATCAACTAGTTCCAACCTCTGCACACAGCACTTGTTGCTGTCAGTGAAGTATCTGAGCTCAGCTCTTCCCTGAGTCGCTGCCAGCTCCCTGCATCCTTTTTGTTCCAGCTCCTCCCCATGGTGGGAAGCTGAGCTGGGAGCTGTTGGTGGAGTGGCTTATCAGTGTTATAAAAATCACAGTTGCCAGCATCAAGGAGACAGCGTGTGCTATCACCTGAGCTTCTGACTGCAGCTCCAGGCCCTGTGCAGGGGGAATTTTTGGATTTGAGGAGGCTCCTCTTGGTCTGTCACATCTTCCTCTTGTCTCTGGCACACCAGTGGACTCCCTTGCAAGGTGCTCCTGTGGCTGAGGCATCCATCTCCCCATTCTGTTCTTGCAAGTCCTGCACTGCATTCACTCTCCCAAACGCTCCTGTGAGATGATCCAAGTGCTGGCCAGAATTACTGCACAGCCTTTTCTCTTTGAAAGGTGACAAAACATTTCTGCCAGCATGTGATCTTCCTATAATCAAAGAGTCTAATGACTGGTAAGCCTTTAGTGGTGCTGGTGCTCCTTCCAGCTCCCTCCTGGAGCTTTTCTCTGTTGAAAAACCTTGTCACAGCGAGGAAGCCAGGCTGGGTGCCTGGGCTGAGCTCTGCACCAGTGGCACAGCTGAGCTCGGCGCTTTCAGCAGCATTACAACAAACCAGCAGCTGTTGCTTGCTGGGAAAGCAGCTGCGTGGCGAAGGCTCTGCTGCCTGTGGCTGCCTGGTGGTTGTTAACCTCCTGACTGGTCTGTCGTGTAAGGAGGCTTTAGAGCCAAAGCAATGCTTGTGATGGATGGGCCGTCAGGTCACGGGGGCTGGGCGCTTGCCTGTGCTCTGGTGTGAGATTGCTTGTAGGAAGCAAATCTCTGCTGGGCTGGGGCTTAGGGAGCTTGGTGCTTGTGTCTCGGTGTCAAACTGAGTGCAGAGCAGGGCAGATGTGAAGAAAAGTGCAGACAGAGAGTGAGTTACCACTGTAATGATTGAACTTCTTAAGGTGTTGGACAACTGGGTTAGAACGGCAATGCAGGCAGCCGTTACTCCATGTCCTAATATTAGGGATCGATGACAACTATTTTGTAGTTTAAGTTAGATTGTTAGGTTGCACAGGGAAGGGTCTCTAAGTCCTGTTCTATCTGTCTATCTATCTATCTATCTGTCTATCTATCTGTCTGTCTGTCTATCTATCTGTCTATCGATCTGTCT